GGATCCCCTTGAACTGGAGTTGCAGATGGTTGTGAGCTGCCGTGTGGTTGCTGGGACTTGAACTCAGGTCCTCTAGAAAAGCAGACAGTGCTCTTAACCACTAAGCCACCTCTCCAGCCCCTAGTTTTAATTCTTATATTGAGGTTTGTGACCTACGGAAATTTCATGTTTCAAAATTATAGTGAACCCGCTTTATTTTTCTTGCTGTGTAGATCAGGCTGGCCTAGAACTCTCAACCTCCAGAATGCTAGAATTAGAAGCCTGTGACACTACTCCAAGCCTGTGGCTTTCGCCCTGTCATTTCCTTCTCCTGGCTTTTTTTTTTTTTTTTTTTGAGACAGGGTTGTCCTGGAATTCTCTCGGTAGACCAGACTAGCCTCGAACTCACAGAGATCCATCCACCTGTCTCTGCCTCCTGAGTGCTGGGACTAAAGGCGTGCGCCACTGCCGCCCGGCTTCTCCCGGTCTTGTTTTCCCGCACTGCCCTGGTTGAGACCTTCACCACCCTTGTCTGCCGTGGCAGTCTCGCTTCTTCAGCAAACACTGGCGGTGCAGTACGAGGAGAGCATGCTGCTGTCGTCGGAGGGGGCACCTGACTAGTCTGATGATCGGGGTGGGGTGAGTTGCCCTGCGGGCCAGCCATGATGCTGTCTACCGGGCATGTGATGATAAATGTGGTAGATGTCACTTGCTGCATTGCGGAACCTGCTGGTTAAGGGGAGAGTGACCGCCGTTCAACAGTGGTGGGAGGCTACAGTAATCAGGAGCAGACTGGATCATGCCACTTTGCCATTCCAGAATTTTCACTCACTCTTTATTGCGGTGGAATCAAGCCTAGTTCATGGACTCAGGCTCCCAGCACCAGGACGGCTTATCACAGCCCTGCCCTGCCCATGCCCTCTGTCTACCCTGCATGCCCCACTGGGCCTTTGAGGCCACGGTAGGGAACATGACTTCCTCTGACAGACTTTTCTTGGTCACTGTCACTCTCTAAGCCATATTTGAAAGATGCTTTTATAGAATTTTCATGTACAGAATCCAAAGGGACAGCTATGGGTAAAGCCTAGTGCTAAAATGCTCGCCTACCATGCGCATGGCCCTGGGTACCAGCACCACAAAGAAATAAAAGCAAATGTGAATTACAGAGGGCCAGTGGGCACTCCCCTGACCTGGTGAAGAGCATGTGGGGTACAGACGCTGGAGAGTAGAGACTAGTTCTTGGAGGGAGTGCTTTGGCTCTGGGAGTGGGCAGGATGTCCAGGGCACTGGTGTCTTCATAGAGATGAACATCTTGAGAATCGTTTATTAAGGGACCTAACAGATCTCAGCCCAGAGCTGAGCAGAGATCCAGATCCCAGTGTTGGAAGGACAGTTTGGAAGCGCTGCAGAGCCTGCTCAAATCTCTTGTTTAGAAATGCCCATTCTGTGTTTGTGAGGGGCTGGTCTTGTCATGTGGCCACTGGTGGCTATGAAATCCAGTGGCTCACCTCAGAGAGTCATCCGGTGGGAAGAGGTAGCTGATGGTTAACCCAGGTTAAGCCAGAGCTTTGTGGTGGGCAAGGCTGGGCTGGTCCCCACCCACATAGTGCAGGTCCTGAGGTGCCACCCTGGCAGAAGATGGAGCAGGCACAGGGATAAGAAAGGCTGTGACTGTTTGGAGCCACCTGAGTTAGTAGAGCCCGGAAAGGATAGCGAGTGTCAGCGAGGGACTGGGGGTCTGGCGGCTTCTGTTCCATCTGGCCTAGAGCCCTGCGGGTGCGGGCAGTTAATCTCTGAAGGCCAGAGTCGCCGCTGCTGGAGAGCAGGAACATTGAACTTTTCAATCACATTAATTTCCACAGGAAATTGTTGTCTTCCTTTTGTCCAAAGGTTAGTGATTTATATTTACCATCTTCTTAACTAGCCTTGAAATTTACTGTTGCCGGGTCACCACCAGCATCCATAAATTTCAGGTGTCGGCTGAGCCATAGCCAAGTGGCTTGGTCCTTGGAAGGGTACGCACCAGCCCCTTTTTAGAGGTCGGCTGTCTAGCTACAGACAGTCCTTGTGCAGATGCCCCACAGAGGGGTGGCACTCACCTGGCGGGGGGTGGGGGGAGGGAGATGAAGTAGGTGGGACATGGTTTTAGGGAGGTCTCTTCAGACAGGCATGGTGCAGGCAGCTTGTGCTCTTATCACTGAAGGAAGCATGCTTCCAGCTGTGGATGGGGCTAACCCCAGGGCTGCTCAGGGCGGGGAGCCGGGACTACACAGTGTCCCTGCATCCTGGTGTTACGGGGCTAAACTTCCGTGAGTACAGGCCACAGTAGACTCTTGACAGCAGGGGAGATGTGGCCAGTCAGCCTCCTGTCCCTGCTTAAGCTGTTTTACCCAGGTCTTTTGTTTTGTTATTTTATTTTTATTTTTTATTTTTGAGATGGGTCTCATGTACCGCAGGCTGCTCTTGAGCCTTGACGTTACTTTGTAGCTGAGGACCAGCTTGAACTTTTGATCTTCCATCCTCTGAGAGCTAGGATGATAGAGGTGTACAACCACGCCATGTGGTTCCGTAGGTGAAACCCACGTCCTTGAGCATGCTAGGCAAGCACTCTAAAGGTCTTTTCCCTCCATCTTCATAGATTAGAACAGAGGCTGCCAAACTTTTTCTGTAAAGAGACAGCAATAGTTAAGGCTTTGAGGGCCAACGATCTCCTTTGTAACCACTCACCTGTACTGTTTTCATCGGAAGGTAGCTATAGACAACAGATAAGTTGGGTAAGAATGGCTACGTTCCAATATAACTCATTTATCTGTCCGTCCGTCTGTCCGTCCGTCCATCCATCCATCCGTCCGTCCATCCATCTATCTTATCTATTTTTTAGGCAGAGTCTCATGTTGCAAAGGCTAGTCTCAAACTCACTATGTAGGCAAAGGTGACCTTGAACTCCTGATCCTTTCTGATTCCTCTCCCAAGTGCTGAGGTATCGGGCATGTACTGCCATGCTGGGTTTATGGTGCTGGGATTGAACTCACAGCCTTACACGTGTTAGGCCAGCGTCTGTTAAATGAGCTACATTTCCAGACCCTAATAAAACTCTGTGCCCTGCCCATGCACGATCATGGGATAGAGAGTGAACCCACAGCTTTATCCGTGCGGGGCAAGCTGTTTGCCACTGACCTACAGTTCTAGACATCAAATGAGGCTTTTTGTAAGTTTACAGATTTGTTTGTTTGTTTGTTTGTCTTGTTTTTTCGAGACAGGGTTTCTCTGCATAGCTCTGGCTGTCCTGGATCTCGCTTTGTAGACAAGGCTGGCCTCGAACTCACAGAGATTCACCTGCCTCTGCCTCCCGAGTGCTAGGATTAAAAGGCGTGTGCCACCACCGCCCACTATTTATTTGTTTTTAGCTAGGATCTCTCTCTATAGCTTTGGCTGTCCTGGAATTCACTATGTAGACCAGGCTAGCCTCAACTCCCAAAGATCCATGTGCTTCTGTCTCTTGAGTGTTGGGATTAAAGGCATGTGCCACCATGCCCAGCTATATACACAGAAAATTTATTTATTTATTTATTTATTTATTTATTTATTTATTTATTCATTCATTCATTCATTCATTTAGGTTGTTTGAGACAGGGTTTCTCTGTGTAGCTTTGGAGCCTGTCCTGGAACTCACTCTGTAGCCCCAGACTGGCCTCGAACTCACAGAGATCCCCCTGCCTCTGCCTCCCTAGTGCTGGGATTAAAGGCATGTGCCACCACTGCCTGGCTATACACAGAAATTTAAGTTCATATAAGTTTATTGTGACTTTTTAAAGGCTGTGGTTTCATATGTAGCCCAGGCTGCTCTCTCCTATTCAGTCCTCCTGCCTCAGCTCCCTGAGTGCTAGATTATAGGTGCGTGTGTCACCATATTAATTTTTTTCTAACCATTTAAAAATGTAAAAGTGTGGGGGCTTGGCATGGTGGTGCATGCCTTTAATATCAGGAAGCAGAAGCATATGGATTTTGGTGAGTTCAAGGCCAGCCTGATCTACATAGTGAGTTCTAGGCCAGCAAAGAAAAAAAGAAGTAAAAGCCTGGGCTTCAGGCAGCTCAGTGGTAGAGCACCGTGGAGTCCAGAGTTTGATCCCCAGCAATGTAAAACAAACAACGACATCAAACAAAAAACAAACCATTTCTGGAGCTGGGAAGGTGGCTCATGGGTAAAGCGCCTCCTGTTCAAAGCTGAGCACTGAGTTCATATTCCCAGTAGCACTATCAAAACAAAACAAAACAAAAACCAAGGCAGCTCACATCTGTGACCCCAGTGTTGAGGGAGGCTAAGCAGGTGGAGCCTGGAGCTCATTGGCTGGCCAGCCTAGAGTGAGCTCCAAGTTCACTGGAAGACTCTCCACAAAGCAGGTGGAGAATGGCTGGGAAGGATACCCAGAGTTGACCTCTGGCATCCACAGTGCACGCACACACCACATGGCCAAGGGCCCACACCACACACACACCTGCACCACTTTAGCTCATCGACTGTAGAAAACAGCCGGTTGGCGAGCTGGCTCTGTGGTTAAGGCATCCGCTACCAAGCCTCATGACTTGAGTTACCCCAGGAGCCACGTGATGGAAGGGGAACCAACTCCAAGTTATTCTCTGACCTCCAGATACTCGCACCTTGGCACCCGTGGCCCTTTCCACACAAAGAAATAAATGTAATTATTTAAAATGAAAGAAAATCGGTCTGATTTAGCCCATAGGTCATGGTTCCCTGGGCTGGAAGGTGCTATTGTCTGGAAAGAGCATTCGCTTTATTTTCTTGGGAGTTGAGTTACTAAAATGTGGTGTCCTCCTGTAGATTTTTCCAGTGAAGCCATGGTGCCTCCACAGAGGTCCACGAAAAGGCAGTTGACCAGAGGGATGGGATGGGGGCAGGAGCCACAGGAAACGGGGCCACCTCTTGGTTTCTGCCCACAGCTCTAAATTGGTCAGAACCCCAATCCTTCCTCGGGTGTTGACAGTCCCCGTCTGTTTTTCAGAGAACCCCAGCCAAGATGGGAAGGAGGCCAGGAAGCGACTTCCTGTGGTGATTCTCTTGGGCTGGGGTGGCTGCAGAGACAAGAACCTGGCCAAGTACAGTGCCATCTACCATAAGAGGGTGAGTGTCGTGTGCAGGTGCTTGCCCCGGCTGTGGGCCTCCGCTACTCTTGGCCGCTTTGTGGGGAACTGGAGGCCTGGCTGCTTCACCTTTGGGCTCGAGCAAAGGTCGAGCACCTGTGTGGTAGCCCTAGAGCCGTGCCAAAGGCCTGTGGGGAGACAGTGGGCTCCTGGCACTCTGGCAGGCTTATACCATGCCCTCAGTGGCTGCGTCAGTCCCCTGACCTGCTGCTTCTTCCCCCGAGGCCTTGATGTGTTCCCTGGTTGTGAAGTAAGCCCACGCCCCACGCCCCACACCCTGGACCGTGCCTCTTTGGATGGCAGGAGCCAGGACAGGGCACACCAGGCATAGTTTTCTGGGACCCCCTCCCTTTCTGACCAGGTGAGCTCAGGACTGACAGACAGCACCTCCCCCTTTCCATTCCCAGGATCACAGGGTTTCTCGGAGAAGAGTCACACTTCTTAGGCCGCTCAGAAATTTGGATGTGGAGGTTGTGGTGACCGGCAAGGTCCCAGGAGGGCCTGAGTACAGTGTGGAAAACCCCCTTTTACATGTTTAGTCAGATCTCCTCAAAGCAGCCTTCGGCAGAGGGTACAAATCAAGGAGACAAAGTGTATGTGTTTAGAGGCGACACCAGGGCCTTGTCCTCAGAGAATTGATGGCGCTGTAAAGCTAGGTTTGCCATTAAGAAAGCCCACTGAAGCCTGGAGGCAATGGCACACACCTTTAAGCCCAGCACTCGGGAGGCAGAGGCAGGCGAATCTCTAAGTCCAACCTGGTCTACAGAGCCATTCCAGGACAGCCAGGGTTACACAGAGAAACCTTGCCTCAAAAAACCACACGTTAAAAAAGAGAGAGAAAACAAGCAAGAAAGCCGTTTGCTGCAGAGTGTGGGGAGGGGGGATTGGAAACTGGCACTGGACGGCAGAAGTAGCTTAGAGGGGGGGTCTCAATGACTCAGGGGCAGAGGAGCCTGGGGCCCGGGGATGGACTGTGGAGCTCTGGGAAGAAGAAGGGTAGGTTACCCATCGATCAGGAGTAAGATAAGGAGGCGTAGGGTCATGCCAGGGTCCAGGCTGGGGCCTTTTCAGGGTAGAGTTGTGTTTTTGAGACAGGAACAGGAAGAGAATCCATAGGTTCCAGAGGATGAGACAACAGGGGTGTGAGGAGATGGCAGCACTCGTTTAGGGAAGCAACGAGGAACCCAGACTTAATGAAGAGACTTCCACAGGGAAAGGGGAGGGGATGGCCAAGAAAACCCCGGAGGGCATGCCCACCCATAGACGTCGGGAGGCTGCCTTTGGCAGTGAGGCTGTTAATGTGGGCAGAAGGCGTGAGGAAGACAGTGGGGGGTGGAAGGTCCTAGGGAAGACAGGCGCTGAGGTGGTAGGGACAGCCTCGGAGAGGAAGGCCTGCCTTACCCCGGTGAAGAGAAGACGGCCGTGAAGAAAGAGTTTTCCAGTCTAAAACTCCAGTTTTTTTTTATTCGAGAGAAAATAGCGCTACTTTATTCTGCCATCTAGAGACTGTCCGGCTTACCCCGTAAGGGTTGCGTCCTTGTAGGTTTTCTCTGTGTACCTTTTGTATACGTAGGTTCTAGTTAGTTACTGTGTGCAGCCTGCTTTTTTAGACTCCGTCTGTCCTGTTAGTAAGTTTTCACTGCATGTCTTTTCCAGTCTGTGTCTGGAGACCCAAGTAGCATGTTCCCAAAGCATCTTCTACAGCTGATTTGTCCAACCTGGAGTCCAATACGGGGTCACACACTGCAGTTAATTCTTTTGTTCCTTAACTCTATATTCTTCCTGTGATTTAAAAAACCCTTACTTTGGCTGCTTCGGGGGAGGGGGGAGGGGAGCTCAAAAGCCTCTATCAGGCAAAACCATTTGGGAATGGGGGTGGCCTTCAGCAACCCCCTTCAGAGTTCCATGACTGTGGCTGGTGGCCATGGCTGGCCTTTCCTGTTTGGCTGTCGTCAGAGAACTATGCCCATACACTTCTCTCCGTGTTATTACTGTGAGGATTCACTTTGTGCCAGGTACCATCTTTGTCTCTTGAGATGCATTTTTTTTTAATTTAACTTCTACCATAACCTTTGGAGGTGGGTGTCATCCCAATTATAGAGGGGAACACAGACAGAGAAAGGGGAAGTAAATTACTCTTTGCCCAGACAGTTAGTAAATGGCGGGGCCAAGAATTAAGTACAGACCTGTCTGACCCCAGAGCCTGCCCAGTCCAATGTCCCTGACAGAGAGGCTCCTTGTCTCCAGAACAAATTAATAAGAGGGGTAAAGGCCCAGACAGGGTAGCGTCTGATGCCTTCTCCACCTGGCCTTCAAGGGGACCTGTCCAGAGGTTAAAAGTACACTTGACACACGCGGGAAGGGTATGGGAGCTGAAAGTGAGCTTGGGCCTAGATTTTTGGATTTAAGAGCGACAATGACTTCTGAATTTGGAATTTCTTTCATTGTTTTGTTTCTCCCTCCCTCCCTCCCTTTCCTTCTCCCTCTCCTTCCCCGCTTCCCTCCCTCTCTGGTTTGGAATTTGAAGGTGAGTGTGAGGAATGATCCTAATTCCAGGAACCAGCTATAACTAAAGGTCAGACCCCCAAACCAGACAGTGTGGACTCTTGTTTTCAGGGCGCTGTAGCAGGGACGGGGACAGGACTGCCGTGCAGAGCTGGCTCTGGCTCAGAGGCGCCCTCTGGTGGTTAAGACTGGGGCCTGCATGCCGTCCCGTCTGTCTCAGGGGGTTGTAAAGTAGCCCGGTGTATCCAAGTCCCAAGGCTTTGCAAGGTCTGGGGAAGGGTTGGTCAGGAGGACAGAGGGAACCAGAGGGAAGAGACTTTCTTCTGGTTGGATCAGATGTCTCCAAAACATGCCATCAGCTCCAGGCTTCAAATACCATCCCACGCTCAGGAGGCATGAACAGCATGCAGCAGCGTGTTCAAAAACAGGCCTTGAGCACGCCTTTAATCCCAGCACTCGGGAGGCAGAGGTAGGAAGATCTTCTGTGAGTTCGAGGCCAGCCTGATCTACAGAGCGAGTCCCAGTATAGCCAGGGCTACACAGAGAAACCCCGTCTCAAAAAACAAAACAAAACAACACAAAAACAAAAACAAACAACCCCACCCCCAATAACGAAACAACAGGCTTTGAATGTTCCTGTACTGCGGCTGGTGAGCTAGCTGCGACACAGCTGTGGAAATGAGAGCCCCTGGGCTCCTTTGACGAACCTGCACCCACCACCCCACCGTGTCCCTGGGACTGACCTGGGTCCTCTCGTCTCTCCAGGGCTGCATTGTGATCCGATACACGGCCCCCTGGCACATGGTCTTCTTCTCTGAGTCCTTGGGCATCCCATCACTTCGTGTGATGGCCCAGAAGCTGCTCGAGCTCCTGTTTGACTACGAGATTGAGCGGGAGCCCCTGCTCTTCCATGTCTTCAGCAACGCTGGCGTCATGCTCTATCGCTACGTGCTAGAGCTCCTACAGACCCATCAGCGCTTCGGCCACCTGCAGGTCGTGGGCACCATCTTTGACAGTGGTCCCGGTGATAGCAACCTGGTAGGGGCCCTGAGGGCCCTGGCAACCATCCTGGAGCGCCGGCCCGCTGTGCTGCGCCTGTTGCTTGTGGTGGCCTTTGCCCTGGTGGTAGTCCTGTTCCACTTCCTGCTGGCTCCGTTCACTGCCCTCTTCCACACCCACTTCTATGACAGGCTGCAGGACTCGGGCTCCCACTGGCCTGAGCTCTACCTCTACTCCAGAGCGGATCGGGTGGTCTCAGCCAGGGATGTGGAGCGCATGGTGGAGGCACGCCTGGCTCACCAGGTCCTGGTGCGCTCGGTGGACTTTGTGTCGTCTGCACATGTCAGCCACCTCCGTGACTATCCTACTTACTATACAAGTCTGTGTGTTGACTTCATGCATAACTGTGTCCAGGGCTGACCAGAAATAAACGCCGGGAACATCCCTTCAACCTACATCTGTCCTGGGGGACTGCTACCCCGGCTGCTCCCACAGATCCAGGGGTGGGAGTGCCAGGGCAAGTTTCTGTGGGGCAGCCTTGCAGTTATTTGGACAAGTACAATGTTCTTATGGTGTTCGGCCTATAAAAGGTTAACAGCGTGTGTGTGTGTGTGTGTGTGTGTGTGTGTGTGTGTGTGTGTGTGTGTGTGTTAGGTGAATGGCTTGAGGCTAA